TGTCCCTGCCTGAGACGGACACATGAAAACAATAAAGAAACAAGCAAAAGAAATAAAACTAAGAAATAAGACTTTACACACTCGTCTTTACGGCCTGCCCTGTGTTTGTTTGCAAGTTACTGAGATATGTGTATTTAAAGCAGAAATTCATCAGGGTTTATTTATCTTTGGTTAAATGTAGGTTAACATGCAAAAACTGAAAAAAGGAAAAATCTCAATTTAATCAGGAAATTTCTGTGTTTACTGACCGTTTAAGACTTTATAATCTCTAATAAATGAGCAAAAAGAATATTAAGTAGAATAGTAGTCGTCTATCAGTTGTAGTCTGCAGCTAACTGAGTTGGTCAGATGGAGAATTTTGCAACACATTCAGCTCTGAAGGGTAAAATCACTTCAGATGCCCAATAAATAACAGATTCTGACCCATGGAGCCAAATCAGAGCTGAAACTGAAAAACAAAAAGTAGAAAGTGAATGTTGAACTCCCTCATGAGTATAGTTTCGATTACATTTTTAAGGAAACAATTTTTTTTTCACTGATACTCATATTTGATCTTTTTTTCAGTTTTAGATTATATGATTGCAAATTTCTTAAGAAACCTGTCACATTGAATTATTTTAAGCTTCCTGCTCTTTGAGTTTCTGACCTTGATCTGGTGTTTACTGAAAGATGGAAATGGAGGAAATAGGAGCTGAACTTTACTGTATGTGTAGGATTACAAAGCAGTCTGTGAATGTGCTTATTAGACAATGGTTATTGGATGTGTGTAGCCCAAGTGATGTTTAATAGGCTGAAAGCAAGTAAAGAATAAACAGTGGAGCACAATTCTCCCCAAAGGGCAAGGACTATACTACCTATTTGATGATTTATGATGTTTTTATAACAATGTGAGGATGTCAGCCTGCTTTCATAACAACACACTAATGTCTGACCTTTGACCTATGACCTTGAAGCATAAAATGGTGTATTTTATTATCTTTAGTCATCTGATTGGAGCTGAATTGGCTGA